GACCACTCAACCATGACCCAGGAACTTGTTTCCCATGAGATAGTGTGTTGCTCAGAATGATTGTGTTGCTCTGACTTGATGCCTTTGAAAGAATGAGCACAACAGATTCACGGTTCCTAAGCTTTAACAGTTTTCTCTGAATTCTCTTTTGTCCAACACGATACTTCACAGATCTCACCAGTTGTTAAGGCACAGTTTTGCTATTGGGTTTAATGATCTGAATCCTTGTTACTGCGGAAAGCGGCTGTCCTGCGTGCGCCTTCCTACTCTGCTCTGCCTTCTACATTAACATTAGAGACATGTAGATGGCTGGGTCTTTTTTTGCCTCTCCGGTTGGCTGGAGCTTTTTCCTAGGTTATTTTCTAGCTGAATCTGGTCTCAAATATGACTGATCATTCCTCTGTACCCACTAGTAATAGCACCAAAGAGGAGACGGGGAGACATGGTTGGAGAGGAACAGGGCCATGTGTGGGTGGGACCTGCCTTTCAGTGGCACCATGAATTTAGGTTTGGTAAAACCAATCACAAAAGGACCCCAGACAAATCTTAAGCATGTCTGTATGTCATAACACTCCTGTAATACAAAACAGATGCAAAAGATAGCCAAAGAATTATTTTGATAATGTGAAAGTCCAATAAGATGTTTTTAATTTTTTTTACTTTCCTGTTCATGAAAACCAAAAGAGAATTTAATCAATCTCACAGCTTTGACAATTAAGCAGTCAGAGATGAGACAGATACACCAAGAACTTGCACACTTCTGGGGAATCTTTTTTCTTAATTGACTCGTATTTGCTAGACAGCTTTATTCTTTCCCAGTCCCAGCTGCCTCTAAAGTATATTGCAATAACAAACATTAGAGTTGTGTGCCGATTTAATGATATCCTTTGAAAAAAAGAACGGAGGATTGTCCTTGACTTTTAACAGCCTGTAAAGCATATTTAAAGCTGTAATCACAAACATCAAGAAAAACAGTACCATCCAACAATTAGATAAATGTCACTAAAACCATATAAATATTAGAAAAATGATCATGCTTCTAAAAATAAAGTGGTTTGTGGCTGGAGAGATAGAGACCAGGAAAGCACTTACATAATAGGCTCCTAGCACAATGAATTGTCTTCACAGGAGTCGAGGCAACGACATTTTTTTTTTTACGGGGAATATACCACTGGTATCCACCAGCACGGAGCTCTACTGGAAGGAGAACTCAGAAAAACTGATGGGTATTTAGATAAGGGGCAGTTTCAACACTTCTAGTTCAGCCTTACTCAGTTAACGGGTATATATTGCGTTTGAAATAATTTTTAATTGAAGAAAAAAGACAAATTTGGCTTCAAAGCACTCTTTTGCTTGTTTCTGTGTAGTAGATAAAAGCCCTTCATCTTTCTACAATAACCTGTCCGGCAGTGAATCGCATCTCCAGCAATTCCCTCTGCGTATGATCCTATCGGATGAGAAAGACCTGCCTACCTGAGCAATACTTGGACAGGACAAAGAATAGCCTTGGGAATACTGAAGCTCTCCAAGACATCTTTGTATGGAACACGCTACACTTGTGGATACTTTTCACCTATTGGCAGCAGCCTTGAGAATTCGACCGTGAACATTAGCTACAGCAATTATGACAAGCAAGGTACACCTGGTATTGAAAGAAAACATACTCAGCATAAGCTTTTATCATACTTGTTATTTTAAATTCTCTCTATGAGCTTTCCAGAGCTAGCGCTTCTGAGACCATAAACACATCAAAGGTCCCCTGAGGTTAGGGACTGGCAGTTGTCAAGGCCCGAGTCCTGCAATCACACACATGAGCATTTTCATAAGCAATCAGATGCAGGCTCAAGAGCTCGATTTAGACAAGTTGTGTTCAAATCTAGGCTTGTAATCTACCTGTGGGCTGTACTGTTTACTTAAACTTTTCTTTTTAGAAAGCACTGTGGTATTTTGCATGGTTTGGTATAAGCCAGCTCTAGCGGTAATGTAAGTGCTATAAATACACCACAAAAAATAACAGGGAACTGCCAGAATGCCATTATGGTAAATGCAGTATTCAAACGTTTTAAACATGAGAAAGTAAATTCCATTTTAGAGGAATCACCAACTGCAGGAGTTTGGAGATACTAGCTTTCCACACGATGTGCTAAACTGTAGGAGGAAGCACAGGGTTTTCCCTGAACGAATTTCACCAGGAAATACTCACATAGATCACACGGCTTGGGGAACCTGATGTACTTGAAGCAGGTACAGAAATAATACTCTCAGATGAAGTCCTCGTTTCCTAAGGCAGGATAAGAGAAGTGAAGCAGATAAGAAATAGAGGAAAGGGAGGGAAAAATATAACTTACTTAAAAAAGTGTACAAGACACTTCGTTTAATTTAACTTTTACCACTCACAAATGGCATATCACAGCGAGCTCAAAACATACAGGCATACCAAAGAATTAAAAATAAAAGACGACCTTTAGTCAATCAAATTGACCTTTGGAAATGCAAAAATGATTTTACATGGGATTTTCTTTTCCCCTCTCTTCAGAATGAAATGGAGCACTTCTGGACTGCCAGGACAGCCTTTGGGCACTATCAGGAACAAGCAAAGTTACAGCAGCTCTGAGTCCAGGGTCACAAGATGATACGGTGACAGCAATTTTTACTTTAAGATTATACCATCAAACTAATCTATATTGCTTCCGGAACATGTCACACCACTATGCCACTCACTCACAGCAAACAGCACGACATCCTGCAGAGCACCCTGAATGAGGCACCCAACAGGTGAGCTTCCCCCTCTCCCACTGTAACACTACCAGGTTAATTTTAATGCTCAACTGGTTTTGTTCTGTTTTCAATCATTCTGGCATTCAGAGTGGCAGACCTTTATTGTTTTCTTTTTGGTAGATTCCTTTGTGATGAAAAATATAATTACTTTTAAATAACAAAGGGTTGGGAGAGACAATGATATAAACCATGAGCGAACAGACCTGACATTCATAATTGAAGTTTAAACAAATCTTACTATGAAATCAATGGGTTTATACCCTCTTTTACCCAGATATGTTAATTCATCATAAAATACTCTTCTCCATCTATGGAAAAATCTGTCCCTGATTGCAAAAAGTACGTATTTTTTCCATGCACTCTGAATGACTGCCAATTACTGCCCCACCGAAGGCTGGCACTTCTCAACTGGAAGTTACAACTGTTCAAACCCTTATAAGGATTTTAGCATTATTAAGCTGTCAGGTCAAGGAAGTATCCTTCTTACTACTCCAGTCTTTGCTTGAAATATTTAGCAGCTTTTAGAAGCAATATGTGAATATATCTGTACCGTACTGTGTGAGCAGAGCAAACAAACTCAATGATCACAACTATCCTTCCACAGACCTTCTTTAGCCTAAATAGTCCTATGGACTTCTCTGAGACAGTATATGGAGATACTTATCCGTATAAAAAAAGATTCAGTTTATTTGTTTTGGCATGTCTGCCTGGGATTTGGGAATTTTCTCCCCCTCATTTTCAGTTGTGTCGCACTGAGGCTCTGGACGAGCTCAGAAGGTCCAAGGGAACAAGGCAAACACTGGCATGGAAATAAAGTATTCTCTGAGAAATACTTGTGGCTGCTGTTGAGATGATCATTCAACACGGACAGTGTAATTGCATTGACCTTCTGCATAGTTAAAGCATACTGCAAGTTTCTAGAACTTTTGTAAATGACATGGAAGTGTCAACAATGCACTGATGTCACATGCAAACCATACTTCTCTTTCATTATGTCCCTACAGGAGGTCCAATGAGAAAAAAAAAAACACTAAATAAACCTGCACTATTTCAATGTTTTAAACCCTGTTAAAGTCAAATGACAGTTTTGGATTAACCTTGTGATTCCCTAGATAAAGCTTCAGAGTTTCTTTCTGTATCATGTCCATCAGTGGATTGTGTTTTAAGATCACACAGTGTAGCATGACCTTAAAACACATAACATACCTGGCTGACTATATTTAGTAACTCTTAATAAATTCCTGGAGTTTTTTCAGGGGCCCTCTTGTTTTTAAGAACAACTATAATTCATTAAAATGTCCAGCTTTTGCAATCAAAGTGTAGATCTCATCTTTTTAAGGTACTTCTGCAGATTGCTTCCCTGCTTCCTTACACTATTCAGCTACTCCCACAAATCATCCCATTTATTCTCCTGGTGATTAAAGCCTACTCGTTCCACATCTCACACAAGCTCTTTCTTCTCTGCACGATCCATTACCCCTTTTATCATCCCCAGTGCACACGTGCTGTACATAATCTCCTAGCTTTTCCAATAAAAACTCACATCTCAGTTGATTCCATTGCTTCTGTTCAGTTCTTTTCTCCATACTACGCATTTTTATTCTCCCTCCACCTACCTCTACTCCTTTATGCCTTTTAATAATCCTTATTCTTTCTCTTCTGACCTTGATTTCTGCTGTCTTTTCCAGCTTTATCCCTTCTGCTTACAATCTCACTCCCCTATAATTTTTCTTTTTGCAGTCACTATCTTTCACAACTTCTTTTTCCCTTCCACTCCATCTCCAAAGTTTTGGAGCGTGCTGCCACTTACTCCGTCTGCCTTTGTCACCTACTTTAATTACATGCTGTGCATATATCTATATAAATATATAGAAAGACAACTTTTAAAAACAACAAACTGCAAAGGTTGACCAGAAAATTTCTCAACCAGTATACCCCATTCTCAACTCAAGTTATATTGAAAAGTCCATTACTACCCTCTTTGAAATGGTACCCTTTCTTCTTGGTTTATTTTTTCAATAATGAACGTAAAGACCAAAAAAACAGGAAAAACCCAAAGAAAAGGAAAAATGACTAGACGTGGAAAAGTTCTTTGAGCTCCATTCTGTTGTTTTTTTTTTCCCCTACTCAGGCAAAACTCCCACTGACTTTCAGATACAGATGTCTTCCTCTCTGCTGGGGACAGGGCAGACTCCCAGCACTTGGAGAGATGTGTTATAAATGAGTCAGCCTTTACAGTTTCTTACAAGTACACTTTCTTTGCCTTTGTGAGGAAAAGGCAGTCAGTAGGAATCCAGTACAACTTTGTCCACTGCGTTTCTTTGAAGGAGGGAAAAAAGAAACTCCAACCTAATATGTTTTCGATAAATTACATAGGGTTTTAGGCTTGCAATTTCAGTTACTCAGCCAGAATAAAATCCTTAGGAAGCCTAAAATAATGCTTAATAGTATTAAGTTGAATCAGCAGCACTTATTAAATTATTTTGACAATTTTAAATACAGATATATTAAACAATACATTTTATACTGAAACACTACTTATTTGATATTCAGAGCTCACCATGAAGAATACCAGAGCAATCACTTCCCAAACACTTGGGTACAAAAAATACAGCCAAGATCCTTCAGGATAAAGCCCAAACCAATTTTTTTTTTTTTTTTTTTTTTTCAAAATTGTAATTTAGTCAAAGTTGCACTTGCTAACATACCCTATTTGTAAACACTCTTTTTATAGCTGCTGCCTGCTGTTCTGACTTGTGTCTTCCATCCAAGCCTTGATGGATCAAAGCAGAGCTTTTTCGAACAAGGATACCAAGGGTACCACTTGGAGCATCAGAGAACATCAGAACTGAAAAACCCTGTCCTTGGCCTCCACGTTAAATGAGGTAGTCCCACCACTTCAGAGAGATCATTTCCCTGGCTACAGATTAATTCTTCATTTCCTAGGGGCAGCTTATTCATCTGCTAACCTTGTAATTATTAAAGTTGCCAGAACTCCCCCCTCTTCCCGTTGCACGCAGACAGATGCACAAATCATCCAACTTAAGGAGGTACTTAAAGCCAGAGATTAAATTAAGTTGGGGCTGGCTTGCCAACATTTTACAAACAAATAATAAAAAAAAAATTCCAAGGAGAGATTTTTTTTGTAAAAACAAAGTGAAAGTCCTCTGATCTTTCAAGTGTAGAGCCACATAAAAAGAGAAGTCGTGCATCAATCACATCATAATCAGACAGAAGTTAAAAATTAACTTTGTTTTTTCTTATTCATATTTTCACATTTTTCCTCATGCAGTTTACACACATAACTCTTAGGTCAGCATTCTCCTGAACTTGTAGCTTTAGTCACTAAGTAAAAGCAGAATATTTATATTATGTTATTACATTACATTAACCTACTGGATTTCTGTCATTTACAATTTAAAATTACAGTACTGAAAACAATCCAAATCCTTCCCTCCATGCCCACTGCAAAAAAAGGGATAGAGAAAAATATGGCAATGGAATAACACTGGGTAAAAATATGGTCTTTTTACCTTGTTTTTTTCTTCAGCCTTTGCAGCCTGTCTACAAACTGGATGCCAAATGGATGTACCTGGAAAGTAAATTTCAAGTTCTTCTTAATTCAGTTCCACAATAAGAAGATTTAAAATGAGACCCTTATTAAACCTTCCTACAAGGTTTTCTAAGACACAGCACACTGACTGATTCCACTGCAGTCCCCATTTCATTGATACTTTCAAAGCTAAAACTGACAACTTCTCGGTATCAGTACGCCTGATCACATACGTTTTAAAGGCTGGGTGCACTTCAGAAAGCTACATGTACTTCAATATGTGAGATAAACGTCATAACCTGAGTCCTAAGAAGTGTGATATGGGATCTCTGGAGCTCCTCCAGCCCAACCTCCTGCTCAGAGCAGGTCCCACTACAGCAGGCAGCTCAGGGCTGTGCCCAGTTGTCTTACAGAATCACAGAATGGTCAGGGTTGGAAGGGACCTCTGGAGATCATCCAGTCCAACCCCCCTGCCAGAGCAGGGTCACCTACAACAGGTTGCACAGGACGGCATCCAGGTCGGTTTTGAACATCTCCAAGGATGTTCTCCAAGTTTTGCATATCTCCAAGGACGGAGATCCCACAGCATCTCTGGGCAATGTGTTCCCCTGTCACGGTAAGTTTTTTCCCCCTTATATGTAGCTAGGATTTCCTCTTACCCTTATTACACGTATTCTTGTAATAGTCTGGCTCAGGACACGCTAAGTAGCACACTGTGATGGGATGGAATAGTATTGTGGCATTCAGCACTAGCTGAAAATCCTGTCTTTATTTCTGAATTATTCACTGCACTTCCTACATGTTTGTCTCTCATAAGTCAAATACTAAGACCTGCCCAAATTCAGTGGAATATCCACCCTGGAGGAAGCAGAAAATACAGAATTAACCAATTCTCTACTGCATGTAAGTATTGAAGAGAGGATTATGAACTGTAGAGATATAAGTAAACATCAAGCATGAGAAAGAAACTTAATAGCTTTGCATTAGTCACAAAGGAAAAAAAAATTAAAAAGTTGAACACAATGTTGAATACTCAGTGTTCAAAGGAAGTGGAATACGTGTAACTATATAAAATGAAAGAATTATTTGTAAATTTTAATAGTAAAAAGAAACCTTTATGTTTATGCCAGTCTGCGCTTGGACAAGTCACAAACTCAAGCTCTGCACAGTTAAATAATGTGAGTACACTGCAACTTCTGCCTGACTAAATGGGAAGTTGAGAACCTTTGCATTATAAATATTTCATGTTTATACTGGGTGGAGAGCATCAAGAAGATTTATTGGAAATGCTTTGTTTTCACTGCAGCTTGATAGTTTTCTAACCAGTGGATTTCGGAAACAAGAGAGAAACAGAAAGTCTGTTTCCCAGAAGACAGATGGAGATCATTAGAATTTATTTCACAAAAATAACCCAAATAAACACAGATTTATGCAGTAAAAGATTATCTGTAAGGACAGACCGGATAAGTTACGTTTACTAAGTTACTTAAGTTTTTGGGGACTGAACCACTAAGAAACACCTTTATAGCACTTTTAAATTTAATGCTAATTTATCTTCCAATTACGAGCAGGTCTGAGCTTGCCCACTGAAAACGTTTGTCCCAACTGCTGCCTAAGTCGATGTAAATCTTCCCAATGGTATTAAGAAGTATTTAGAACAACTTTTTGTTTTAATTACTCCTATCTGTGTTCAAGCAAAACTGGCTGGGAAACTTTTTCACACAGAAGAGAGAGTCCTTTCACCCAAAAGTCATCTGCTGGATGAGCACTGATGACTCAATTTCTGCTAAGGAACATACAACATCTAAAGGAACTTTACAGCGGATGAAAAATTAGTTATAAAACCCTGGGCGGGCTCTGACCTTTTTTATTATCTCACACATCAGGTCAGGCAATCCAAATACCTGATCACGGACCTTTACCTTTCATGAAGTTAGCACCAGTCTCTAATGAAAACTACTCTTCACGTGAAGACAAAAAGTAAGCTGGTATGAATGTTTCATGCATTAGAAAATAAAGTGAGTAAGATGGGTCCAAATTAACAGGACCTGAGCAGACTTTGCAACTACCTGAATTAAAAAGCAGCACAAAACCTAACAAATATCCACCCTTATTACAAACTGAATGTAAAAAGAAGATTCATTTGCAACTCAGTTTCAGAAGGTTTGAAATCTAGAAACAAATTTGTAGTTTGGTATCTTTTTAAAGCATTGATTTCCCAGGGGATTTTAGTACTGCTAAGCTACTTTGCAATTGGAAGAACCACAGCATTTTCTGGCTCCTGAGGGAGAATCCATCAGCACAGACAAGGATCATTATGCTCTTTAATGAGCTAGTTCTTGTTGCAAACCAAAATGACAATAAAATTGTCATTTTAAATAACGCACTAAATTATAATTAGATCTTACTGAGACCACTGTTGTGTTTTAAATAAAGTCTAACTTTTTCCAGCCTAATGAATGACTTCAAAGTACGCTTCTGGAAAACTGTGGACAATTGCGAAGTTGTAATACAGATCTGGGCAAGCATGTGATTTTAGGATAATACACCAGCCATGCAGTTCCCACATCCTACTGAGTTTCTCTTTTCTGTTTTCCTGTGAAAAGATACTACCAGTCAAAGACATAGGCGAAAGCCTTCATTTTCTCTGGTGTCTGACCCTGCATTTAACTGTGTAGACATTGTTTTCTTTGATCAGTTTAGTACAGCTAAACGTCGCTACATATGAAATATAGATTTTAGCTCGTATCTGTTTTTTTTTTCCTTTTCCATTGCATAAATTATTGTGCAAGTCCTTCTCTATTACCACTGAAATTCCCTGACAAGAAACACTGAATTTCTCCCGTGCAAGCTTGCGGATATGTAAGGTATAGGCATATTGTGTCGTAAGGGTGTCAGCTCCATGACATCCTCTTCTGCACCCTCTGAGGGCACTTTGGTCTGACTGAGGGGAATTCAGGTAAGGACCTTCAGATTTTCTCCTCACACCCAAATGGGCAATGGGTACAGAACTGGTCTTAGGACTGCAACAGCAGCTTTAGGGAACCTGCTGCCCCACACGCGTTTTAACTTTCACCTGGACCATTTATCACTGCAGAAAATCACATTTTTTTAGTAAATGGAAAATTTTATAATCTTCACTGTCAAGTACTTCCATCTGTAGGAAATAAATGACACCACTCATCCTTTCTGTGATTCACACTTGCTATTGGATTTGAACTGAGAGAAGTAATAGGTGAGTAAGAAGCAACAAGGGTTTGTTTTTGCTTTTTCTTAGCCTACACATTACATTTTTCACTTTCTTTGGTAGTTATAAAGCAAGAATACATACAAAATAGCTCAGCCATGCTAGCAGGTATGGGCAAGAGGGCCATGCTGCCAAGTTTAACTGGTTTGGGTGGGTTTTGTTTGGTTGGTTTTGTTTTTACCTTGAAGATACATTTCTTCTCCTTCTGCAAACATCTGACTGCACCTGACACATCGTGCGCAGGTTGGGTGATAATGTTTTTCTCCTGCCTGTTTGGGAAAAAAGGCACAGATGATTAACTACACTGATCAATTTAGAAACTTCATTATGAGGAGTTTTTCCTTCATCCTCTAGAATATGACTAATTAGAGTAAATTGGTTAAGGCCAATTAGTTCAACAATCTCTTACAACCACAATACTTATTTTGTTTATAGGCAATTCATGACTTAAAACGTAATTAGGGTCTTGCCTCCACAAAAATGCTAACATGCAATAATTAAGTATCTGAATTTACAGAATAGAAACCATTTTATATAGTGAACACATTTTCCCTGTAAACAACCATACTGTGCACTGAGTGCAAAGTAGCTTAGGACTTACCTGCACAAGGAAGTTGGGATGTCATAACCTCGAGCATGGATTTGCAACTCAACTGTATGTTCATCGTGATCCCACTGAATATATCCCACAAGAACCATCTTGTGCAACGAATGTTTGTATCTGCTTTGAAATGGCAATGGGTACTAAACGGTTTCCATGAGGAATGTGTGTGGCATGCCTATAGGACTGTAAGTTCAGAGCCGACACTTTTGGGTCCCGTGCACTAACTCCCTCACACAGACAAGCCAGGAGTTTTGCCAATGTTCTGAGATTAATCCACATAATTTAATACAATTTTCATTGATTGGAATGAGAACAGGACAAAGCCCTAAATTTGGTCCGAACAGCTTAGTAACTCATCAATTTTCATAAATTTAAATTTCCAATTACCTTATAAACCCATTAATTTAAACTGTTTCACCATTGTCCTCAGTGTGCTTTTCAACAGGAGACACCTACCTGCTAAAAGGAGCAAGGGCTTTTCTATGCCAGACCATCAATGTGTAACACAGACAAGGGTGAAATTAACCTCAGATGACTATCAGAAAAGAAAGCGAAGGCTCCTGGATCACAAGATTTATGCAGGACTCAATTTTGGTAGCTTGGCCAAAATGCAATTCTATGGCTGACCTGTGGGCAAACTTCTTTGCTCTCTTTCCCACAGGCAAGGACAGCAGCACCACAAAGCAACATTGGTTTGAGCCAGTGACAGAAATAATATTCAGTTACTTGTGCTCTTCTTGAGTGAACGACATGGGCCAGCACCTCCAAACTGCACCCCTACCCCATCTTCCAGATGATATTTACAAAACAGAGTTCAACAGCCCAAAGCCAGCTCTTGCACACGCTCCCAGCACTCCTCACTCTTCAAAACCCCTGCAGAACTGAAAGCCAAATCTTGGGATCTCCTTCCTCCTCTTTGACTCCCCAGTCTTCTGTGATAGGCAGAACGGCCCATGGTTTAAGTGCCTTAAGGTCAATGCCACTTCCATTATGAACAAAAGCCAGGAGACCAAGTAACTCTAAAGCTTAGAGCTAAGTTAAACTAAGCTTAACCTAAAGTTAAGCTAAGTCTGACTTCAGTAGAAGTTCTGCTGGAGTTAAAAATAAGCAAATTTTGGCCCATGTAGACGGTCTCATAACCTGTTTATCTGGAAAAGGTTGAAAGGGCATTGCATGTATCTTTAAGAAATTACAACCCAGTATTGCCCCACTGTCTTCAGCATGTAAATATGCTCTCACAGCATTGCACTGTAAATCTCTAATCTAGACACTGAACACTGTTACTGTAGGGATGACTTGTCTTACTCTTTTTCATTGACTGAATGTCAAAGCCTTCCGAGGTATTTACTCTAAAGAACAAAACTGTGTCTGGGGGCTATTTTGTCATTCACAATATCAAACACAGGAGTGTGATAAATTTAGGTTAAAGAACCTCCGGTTTTACATCATCAGTGTTAACTTGGTCCACCCCCGAAAACCTGTTGCTGTGTTTTAAATCAGCAATATCAGCAACATATCACATCAGAATTGCCATTTTGAAAATAGCTTTGTTCCAGTTCACTCTTCTTTTTGTGGTGTTATTTTTTGGAGACTGCTGGGCGATTTCTGCAACTTTAGACATGAAGATGGTCACTGCTTCCTGTATGAACACCTTAAAGTATCAGACCGTGAACTATCAGTACCAGGTTTAAACCAGAAGTTTAAAATTGCTTGAGTGGCTGCAGGTGTTTAAGCACAGAAGGTTGTTTAACTATCGTGAGATAAACTTAAATTTGGAGTATCAAGCTGAAGAGAAATATAATTTCCCTTAGAAGATTTGTACTGCACAAGCATTGCTAATGCAATGCATAGCCTCAGTAATTCAATTGATTCAGCACAGCTGATACAATTCCCAGGATATCACTCTCTAGGGGGATTCAATTACTCCTTTGCTAAAATAAACTGTCGGAGCACATTCTCAGATAACCTGGATGCATCACAGAATAAAATCTATTTCCCTAAATTTAACAGCAAAACCAAATACATCATTTTAATTCACTCTGTAGAGTAAGTAATATCAACTAGCTGTAGAATGGCAGAAAGCAACCTCTTTTTATAATTTAGATACAATTATAAAAAGAAAAATCGTGGGAAAAGGTGTAGTGATCCTTTTGTTGATGCTTACATCAGCATAACTCCAATGGATTTTGTATAATTACCTCTGAATTCAAATGGGACATACTCAAAGCATTTATATAGCTGAAAGTGCTGACAGCCTTCTTTGTTTCCCCTTTTAATTTTTTATTTTATGATGTCCCTCTTCTAACCAAAGCGCAGAAGACAAAACATGGCAGTTTCTTCATCACTTCAAGTGTTTAAAACAGATCACACCATCTTTCTAAAGGAGAGGTGATAGCTGAGTCTGAGACTAGGGACTTGATACAAAAATTAACTAATAATACTCCCTGATATCTTTATACAGTTAGCCTGATTAGATACCATAAACTATATTCAGACCTGGGTGTGTTGCAAACTATAACCCCACTTGGGTACATGCCAAGGAGGCTTTCAGATCTCATAGACGAACAATCGGTTGCAGCAGAACCCAGAAATTTTGTAAACTCAGGGCAGCAACTGTTTCATGTTTTCAGTTTAGTTGTAATAATGGCCTCGTTATTTTTTCTTTTCTTGGTTATATTGCTGTGAGCGAGTTTAACGCAGCAAACAAATTCCTAACCATATGGTTACTTCTTCTTTGCACAGTTTGAAAGCTTAGTTTGACAGATTGTTTTCTCAGTGTTTACTAAAATATCAACACACGCGTAGCACAGAAGGGACACTCATCTCTTATGGTTCAAGTGGTAGATTGTAAGAAACCTTCTTAATATCCTACATTTGCTTCAAGACTGCACCAGGTCCTTGTGCCCAGGCATCCAGATGTGAAGACAGTATTATTATGAAGATCAATATAAAGATTAATACTCATCTTAGCTTTTCTCAAACCTGAATACCAAAGTGTGTCCTTAGGAACACGGTACACTATCAACAGTTTAATTTCTCTTCAACCAACTACGCCAGCCTTCCACAGTCACCAAATTAAGTCACGGCGTATAATTTAAATGTGGAGTCAAAACAGTCCTTAACACTCTGAGACAAAGTATTATGAATCTTCATTCCCTTTAGGTATGAGGGACCGCTTTTAACTGTAAATCTCTTCTGCACAGCAGGCAGAGCCGTCTGGACTGGGTCAACATGAGGAACGTTCTCCCAGCAGAGCTGAGGACCTCCCCACATTCCCTGCCCTAAGCATGGAGGGTACCACAGTGTTGCTACCTGTCCCACAGCACATCAACAAGTAAACCCAAGCTTCACTTAAAACAGGACCAGAACGCTCTGCAACAAAGTACATACAACCTCCTTTTCTCATTTCTCATAACTTCAGGGCTTGAACTAGATAAAAGAAGAATGAACCTGGTGCAACAAATGTGAATCACATAATTTAAAGCACAATTTGAAGACGGTAAGGGTTGTTATCCTAAAGTCTGCAAAGCAGTATGAACACCAGGCCTGGGAAACATGCAACGCTAGCAAAACTAGAGTAATTCATACCAGAAGGAATAACCTTATCTAGTTAAGGTTGGGTTTTAAATTAGCTGTCATCACTCAGGAAAAAGATACTACGTTATTGCAGACAGCTCAGCGAAAACTTCTGCTCATTTTCTAGCTCTGGCTGCAATAACTGATGAAGTGGTAGAATTATAATAAAAGATGATATGAATAATAATTGTAACTCTATCACAATGCCATTGCTTGTCTGGAATCTCATGCCGTTGCTAGGAGTGTGACTGATGTCATTTTTTACTGCAGTTGATGAGTGACAACTGCTTATGGATTGACACATGAGGGACTGAACCAGAGCAGTCTAGAGCTCCAAGCGTAAGATGAGTCCTGGAAAGAAGACTCAAGATTTCTGATGATTCTCTCACCAGTGAAGTCTAACTACATCCTATGTGACCACACTACTCACTTAGTAAAGTAGCTAGTAAATAATAGAATAGTTTGGGTTCAAAGGAACCTTTAAAGGTGACCTAGTCCAACCCGCCCTGCAATAAGCAGGGACATCTTCAACTAGATCAGGTTCCTCAGAGCCCCATCCAACCTGACCTTGAATGTTAAATCTACCACGTTTCTGGGCAACCTGTTCCAGTGCCTCACCACCCTCAGTGTAAAAAATGTCTTCCTTATATCTAGTCTAAATCTTCCCTCTTTTACTTCAAAACCATCACCCCTTTGTCCTATCACAACAAGCTCTGCTAAAAAGTTTGTCCCCATCTTTCTTATAAGCCCCCTGTAAGTACTGAACGGTCACAATAAGGTCCCTCTGGGGCCTTCTCTTCTCCAGACTGAACAACCCCAACTCTCTCAGCCTGTCCTCATAGGAGAGGTGTTCCATCCCTCTGATCATTTTTGTGGCTCTCCTCCAGACCTGCTCCAACAGGTCCATGTCTTTCCTGTGCTGAGGGCTCCAGAGCTGGACGCAGTACTCCAGGTGGGGTCTCAGCAGAGCAGAGTACGCGGGCAGAATCACCTCCTTCAGCCTGCTGGCCATGCTTCTTTTGATGCAGCCCAGATACAGTTGACTTTCTGAGCTGCGAGTGCACATTGTCAGCTCACGTCCAGCTTTTC